ACCCGCGACCCTCAGATTGTGAGTCGAGCGCCTTATCCACCTGGCCATGCCGGGCAGCAGTGAAAGACCAAGGGGATTACAGCTAGTCATCACCACCAACCGCCAACTCTTGGGCTACACTTTTACCGACGAATGATGGGATTAACCGTCGCATTATAACGCCCCCACGGCTGAAAGGGCGAGCATGTTTGGTGTGAAGGAGATTCGACCCCGCGACCCGCAGATTGCGAGTCAAGCGCCCTAACTATGCCGGACCATTTGTTCTAGAGAAAGGAGTAAGAGTGATAAGACAATGAATGTCTCCTAAGCGTGTTTTCTCTTCTAGTTAGCAACCTTGTTTGTATTACAGAAACAACGTGCTGACTATAAAGCTAGGGAAATGACAACTTCTTGAATGTTTCTTTTAAATAGCAGTAATTTCTCATAAATGTAACCAATATATCTTTCACTGTATGTTTATTTTCCTAATTATTAGTAAATAAGCAAGATAGAAGACCACCAGAAACAAAAAGAAATAAAGAGTGAATCAAAGTAAAAACTTCACACAGAAAATAATTATTATGACGTCATAATGACGGATAACATTCTAATACAGACCACAAAGTATATACATATCAATTTTACTAGTAAATATTGTGACACTACACTGGCACGAATCGTTATTATAAATAAAGTACTTTTTTGTTCTTACATTAGTTTGTTTGCTTGTTTTAACGCAAAGCTACACAATGGGCTATCTGCGCTGTGTCCTCTCTGAGGAATCGAATCCTGGATGTTAGCGTTGTAAGTCTGTAAGCTTACCGCTAGACACCTACATTAGTAAACGATTTGCAACAATCCAATGAAACGTAACAACTTGACATAAAAATTAAAACTCTTTGATTATAATCTACATTATATTTTTATGACTTCTTGTGTCAGTTTATTAAAATGAGTTATTATATTATAACTTAAAAGATATACCTATGTTTGTAACGAATAGTTTTTCTTTTTAAATAGAGACTTAGGAACAAAAAAATACCGCAGCCAAACATCAAGAATCTAAAAAAACTAACATTTTTTTCTCAAACTCATATAAATCAAAACAAGTATCAATTCATATCTTTGTCTAATGTTTTATATGCCATTCATTAGTATGTCGCTATATAATTTCCACCTCATGTTTTATTTAACCATATAATGGGTATAATTAACGTTAAGAAATAAGCAGCATGGAATAATTGGACTTAAAAATAGCGTTTCTGAATTTTTAAATAGAACAAAGTTATAAATCATGAAATTATACAACATAGACTTTAAACGACAAGAATTTGCAAAATATCTCGCACAAGACTCGTGCATAAGATACTGCGATCTCGTAAATCTTTAATGATTAGCGTGGAGAAAACTGAATACATCTCATTTTCTTATAGCTAGTTATCCATGAAACAGCCCCTTCCCCCCGCCAGTGGCTCATCAATTAGTCTGCAGGCTTACGGGTTTCAGTACTTTATACGCTTAACAACAACCAAACCAAACTTACAATATAGTTATCTTAATTTTGAATAAAATAAATCGTAATATTTTAATAAATTAATGTTTGTTTATTGTGATCAACCGTTCTCCGTCGTTTTATAATGCATACATGTGCAATAAGATAATTTCAATTGGATTCGACTTCAACACTTGACACCTTCGGAAAAATA